AGCTGATTGGCCAGGGACGGAGAGGAGGCGGGGCCGGAAAGCACCACGCTGGAGGAAGAAGCGGGGGAGGAGGGGAGCTTGGCTGCCACAGAACCAAGCTTCTGCCTCCTGCCCCCTCAGGGGAGAGCAGTGGGTGGGGGGGCTGAGTGGGGCTGGGGGTCGGGACCGCGGCAGGGAGCTGCATGCCACTCAAAATCCGCTCGCGTGCCGTAGGTTGCCAAGCCCTGGTTTAGACTCTGTAAAATGCTTGTAATTAATCTTACTTGTAATGTCTGTTCCCATGCTATAAGGTAGTATGTAAGTTTTGCTTTATAACAGTAAAAATGCCATCTCTGGACTTAAGTATCAGAGGGGTAGCCGTGTTAGTCTGGATCTGTAAAAAGCAACAGAGTCTCCTGTGGCACCTTCATGCATCCGACGACGTGGGCATTCACCCACGAAAGCTTATGCTCCAATACATCTGTTAGTCTTAAAGATGCCACAGGACCCTCTGTTGCTTCATCTCTGGACTTGTGAACCCAGGTAGAGGAGGAGTGGTTTCCCCCATCCATCCAGAGAAACTATCAAAACTAAGTGGGCCATTGTGGAGCATCACGATACAAAGACTAGGTTAATGGCTCTCTCACACCCATGAAGGTGGTGTGTGCAAGAAAGCTCGTCTCATCAGCTTGAATTCTGGAAGAACGAAATAAAAATAGCTGACAGGAAAATTCTTTATCTCTTTGCTGTTTGTGCTCTCAGAAGGCTGGAGTTAGGAAACAAAAGCAGAGATCCCGAGAGCCAACCTGGGTTAACCCTAAAAGACATTCAGTGCTGACAGATTACTACAACTCTGTCACCTTTTGGACCATGGATTGTAACTCATGTATATGTTGTCTGCTTTAACCTGTAAATAACTCTCATATTTCTTGTTCCTAGTTAATAAATCTTTAGTTAGTTTACTATAGAATTGGCTACAAGCTTTGGTGTGAGAGCTGAGGTACAAATTGACCTGGGGTAAGTGACTGGTCTTTTGGGACTGGAAGCAACCTGAATCTTTTGTGACCTTTGGTATATGGCAGGGTTCGGCAACCTGCGGCACGCGTGCCAAAGGCGGCACGCGAGCTGATTTTTAGTGGCACTCTACTGCCAGCCGGGGTCCCAGCCGCCAGCCCCACTTAGCCCGCTGCCTGCCTGGAGGAACAGGACCCCGGCTGGCAGGAGCTGTCGGATGGAACCCCAGACCGGCAGCGGGCTGAGCTCACTGCCAGTCTGGGGTTCCATCCACCGGCTCCTGCAAATGTAAAATGTGTTACTGGCACGCGAAACCTTAAATTACAGTAAATAAATGAAGACTTGACACACCACTTCTCAAAGGTTGCCGACCCCTGGTATATGGCAACCAACTGTCGCTAAGTCCAGCTTGCCTGGGTGGCAAGATAGACTGGAGTGCCCAAGGGGACTGTTTGTGACTCCATGGCTAGACTGTTTATAGTGCTTCGGGAGTTCACATTTGTGACTAGGTTAGTGAAGTCTAATTTTTGAGCATATAACGAGTTTGGCACGTCTGCCCTGCTTTTAGACAGTCTGCCCTGATATTGGCCGTGAACCACTCCAGACAGTTTGACAACCCAGAGCCTCATTGTAACTCTTTTTGTACAATAAAGAAAGCTGATAAATACCACTGAACTGGTTCTTTTTTGTCAATGATGGTAAATCAATTTGAAGCACTCCTTCCATTTATAGTAATTGTAACATTAAAAAAATTAATCAGGTATCATGTTGTGAGCATTAACTATAACACAGTACTGTCAGTCGAAGGCCACAAATTAACTTTGTTAGGGCTGCACGTTTGACATGCCTGTGTTAAAGCGTAGTTAAAAAAATGATTTTAAAACATTTTCTCAATTGTCTGTCTACATAATTGTTCTAGGTTTGTCATGTTTGGTATCATTGTGTTCATCTGAGAAAGGGCATTTGAATGAGACCCCAACTTGATCCATTTCCAACAATGTTGTAATATCAAAATTTCTACCAACTGGAGGATCTGGAGCCAGGGAGGAAGGGGGACAGTGAGTCCCCCTGCCACAGCACAAAGGGTGACACCACTGAAATTATGATTCTGTAGATGTTTACAAAAGAAGTGACACCTTCCATACTTTTCTGTCATTAACTTACCCACAGAATTACACATGTTCCCAAACTATTAAGGGCTTTTGAGGGAGGCTGAGGCCATTGTACTGAAGTCTAATTAAATTTCCCCTTTGTCTCTTGTCATTCTTGTAGATGCCTTATTTCTTTTGCTAGCTAATGTCTAAAGCCATGAAATCCTATTAACCTGAATCTACCCCACATGGTGTGACGGAGGGAGGTGGAGAATGTGAGAGCTGGACATACTTTCTCCTGAGTGTGCCCTATTTTCTCTTTGTTAGTATAGGTGGATGGTGCTTATTGAGAGAGATTTCTTCAGGTGAAGGAGATGGGCTTCTACATCAGCTCCTTGTCTAGAGCCGCCTGCAGCAAAGCACACCTGGACTCCCAGTCATCCCCAAGACATTATCAGGTGGCTCCAAGCTACAATTACAGATGGACAGATCTTCACTACGAGGCTAGCAGGGGCAACATGGAGAAACTGCAACAACTCCTAGTGACCTCAGGTATGTCATTCTCCTAAAGCAGGGCAGGCGTGAGAGAGCCCTTCCTGGCTACTGGTGTTATAGTGAATGCAAACATTCCCATAGGGACATAAGAGTTGCCAGACTGGATCAGAACGATGGTCCATCTAGTATAGTGTCCAGTCTATCAGTGACTGGTACTAGTTATTTAAGAGGAAAAGTGTCTCTCGTCTCTGCTGTTTAAAGGTTTAAGATTCAAATACCCTAGTTTAAGCCAGCCTCTAGCCAGACCATCATGGTCAGTTCTCTGTGCTAGAGGCAGCTTCCCTGTGAGCTTGCTGATGATGTCCCTTTGGTTTTCAGACAGGGAGCTGGTTGACAGGAAGGATTACTATGGCAAGGCTCCACTCTACTGGGCTGCGTATAAAGGGCAGAAGCTTTCCATGGAGTTACTGCTGCAACATGGAGCCAGTGTGAACACGTGCTGTAAACATGGAGGAACGCTCCTTCATGCAGCCATTGGCCTCTTCCCAGACTGCACTCTGTTGCTGATACAGGTCAGGTGTTTTGAATCCACCGCCACCTAATCACCATATGATGTGGCACCTGTTGCGATTCTCAGACTGTCTCTGAACTCAAATGTGGAAAATCTTCTAACTGGGCAGCACCTAAAACAGCCCAATTCAAGGCCCCTGTTGTGCAAAAGGAGCTACTAATAATAGGTATCTCAATTTTGAGATATGCAATTTAAGAATATAGGGGCCTGATTTTTCTCAGGGTGCTGAGCACCCACAACTCCAAGTGAAGTCCAAGGGAGCTGCACCTGAAAATAAGGCCTTAGGTGTTTATAATTAGACATCCAAAACTGCAAGTACACAAAATCAGCACTCACTTTAGGAAATTTGAGCCTAAGCTTGTTGCCCATCCTCCACCCTGGGCCACATGTCTAATTTGTATCTTGGAGAACAGAGTTTCCAACCATGCTAGGAAGCTATTTGTGATCAAAGAAAGTTCACCTTAAAATCCTTCCCCCTTTTTCAAGGAGCAGCCTTTTATAATGTATTAAGTGTTTGCAGCTACAGTTGCACGTGACAGTCCACATCTCAGCAGTGGCCTTGAACATCTGGATGGGGGGGTCAGATCCAGGACACCTCAGCAAGGAAAAGTGGGTCAAGTGAAGCTTTCCTCCCCTCCCCCCATCTCTAGCAAAGAAATGTGGAGCCCTTCCTTGAAGTAAAAATAACACCTAGTAAATATAGTAAAGCTGGTCTCAGAGTGCTAATAGGAGAGGATTTATCACAGTAGAGCAGTGACACTCAGGCTGACGTTTGGGGGCTGCAAGTGGCTCTTTAATGTGTCTCCTGCGGCTCTTTGCAGCACATTATATTAAAACACAATGTGATTTAATTATTAACCAATCAGGATGCTTTCAATGAATTCTCATTTCTGTGGCTCTTTTGGGTAATGTTGATCACTAATTTGGCTCGTGACTCACTGGGGTCTGAGTATCACTGCATTAGAGACATCAGTAACCTGTGTGAATCCTCTTTCTGTGCTAGATGCTTGTAATTCTTACTCGTCAGTGTCCCACTGAGATAGATGGGATGAGTCTCTTGTTTGCAGGGATGGGAAACAAATATTAAAGCAATTGTTTTTATTTAAATAATGAAACAGAATGATGGGAAGCTTCCAAAAAGCTAATGAGAGACCAAGGCAGGTCCTGCTCATGAGTCCTTCAGTAATAACCCTTCTACAATAACTCATATGTCCCCTGAAGTTCTGAGGCTGCCCTATTTGGTTTGTGACCCTCTACTGTGCAATCAGACACACAGAGTATGTGGTAGACTGGGCTTATAACTAAAGAGAGTTGCAGAACTCTGACCTAGTTTGGGTTGTGTCCTGATGTCTGAATGTAGGAATTGCCACACTGGATTGGACCTAGGGTCCACCTAGTCCAGTCTCTTGTCTCTGACAGTGGTCAGCATCAAATACTTCATAGGAATGTGCAAGAATGCCAAAATAAGCAGTTGTTTTATAATCTGCCCCTATGAATGTCTCAGATCTACTGCCCATGTTACACTGTGGGCGAGTAGCAGCAGCTCCCTGTGCATCTGAAGGGGATCTGATTATACAGGCAGCAGATGGGAAAGATACAAAACAGTTAGTGACTAGTGGAGCTGGGGCTGGGAGAAGGAAATAGAGTAACTCAAGGACTATTTCTGTCTCCAGCAAGGAAACCCAAAGACCCCTGCTACTAGGCCAGTGATTCTCAAACTTTTGTACTGGTGACCCCTTTTACACAGCAAGCCTCTGAGTGCGACCCCCCCCCCCCTTAAGAATTAAAAACACTTTTTAAATATTTAACATTATTATAAATGCTGGAGACGAAGCAGGATTTTGGGGTGGAGGCTGACAGCTTGTGACCCCTCACGTAATAACCTCGCAATCCCCTGAGTAGTCACGACCCCAGTTTGAGAACCCCAGTTTTCTTCTGAGCTGTCTCTCTCACTCAGTCACTCAGGGCTTGCTCACTTTTCTGCCTGCTCAGGCCTGCAGTATATGCTATATGCCTTTGTGTGTGATCTTTAGCACCAACATTAATTTCAGGACTCAATGACCATTGTAGGGCAGGGATGGGGGTGCCTGTATGTCTGGCCACCTGGCCTGATTATTGCAGCTTTTTGGTAATTCAGACATGTACGTAATTTTAAAATGGAGTTGTTTTCTCCCCTTCCCTCAGCATGGTGCTGATGTGAACCTTCAGGATAACTGGGGAGTGACTCCCATGTACCTGGCAGCTTGCAGTGGGCAGATAGAGTGTATCCGGCTTCTGGTGCAGGCTGGCGCTGACATCACTTACAAGAACAAGGTATTTAAGTTTTTCAGTGAGACATTCACAAAGGCACATGAGATGCTCTAAACCTGGTCTGTAACTGCCCCACCATGAGCTGGGCTCTTTTCCATGTTCACAACCTGAGCACAATTGGGTTTGGTTGGTACTCAGGGGGGAGATTACCATAGGAACACCTACATGCTATGGGACGTGTCAGTAAGTGGCACTTTTCCCTCAGTCATCTCTGAAGCGATGCCCCAACATGGTGCTGGAGGTGCCAGCTTCCATATGAGAACAAAAAGCAAGGTCCTGCCTGTCTGTTGTCAGTAAAGGTTACATGGAGATTTTGACAAGAGCTGGAGTGTTAGCCCCAGTGCCCACGTGGATTATTACATTCTGCCTCCCTAGATTTCCCCTGCAGTTTCAATTGGATATGGGATTCTTCACTTCCTAATATAAACTGATTTGTACTGTTGCTTTATGCTGCTGGGTTTTCCAGCCCCCACTTCTCATGGGTGTCTGTAAAGCTGTATAAATAGTTGTAAAGTGCCTTGAGATGGAAGGTGCTCTAAAAATGTAAAAGATTAAGAAACAAAGGAATGGCCATACTGGGTCAGACTAAAGGTCCATCTAGCCCAGTATCCTGTCTACCGACAATGGCCAGTGCCAGGTGCCCCAGAGGGAATGAATAGAACAGGTAATCATCAAGTGATCTGTCGCCCATTCCCAGCTTCTGGCAAACAGAGGCTAGGGACACCATCCCTGCCCATCCTGGCTAATAGCCATTGATGGACCTATCCTCCATGAACTTATCTAGTTCTTTTTTGAACCCTTTGAATTTTGGCCTTCACAACATCCTCTGGCAAAGAGTTCCACAGGTTGACTGTGTGTTGTGTGAAGAAATACTTCCTTTTGTTTGTTTCAAATCTGCTGCTTATTAATTTCATTTGGTGACCCCTAGTTCTTGTGTTAGGAGAAGGAGTAAATAACACTTCCTTATTTACTTTATCTACACCAGTCATGATTTTATAGACCTCTATCATATCCCCCCTTAATCGTCTCTTTTCCAAGCTGAAAAGTCCCAATCGTGATTAATCTCTCGTCATACGGAAGCTGTTCCATACCCCTAATCATTTTTGTTGCCCTTTTCTGAACCTTTTCCAATTCCAATGCATCTTTTTTGAGATGGGGCAACCACATCTGCATGCAGTATTCAAGATGCGGGCGTACCATGGATTTATATAGAGGCAATATGATATTTTCTGTCGTATTCTGTCGCTTTCCTAATGATTCCCAATATTCTGTTTGCTTTTTTGACTGCCGCTGCACATTGAGTGGATGTTTTCAGAGAACTATCCACAATGATTCCAAGACAACAAGGAGTCTGGTGGCACCTTAAAGACTAACAGATTTATTTGGGCATAAGCTTTCGTGGGTAAAAACCTCACTTCTCGCATCCAAAGAAGTGAAGTTTTTACCCACAAAAGCTTATGCCCAAATAAATCTGTTAGTCTTTAAGGTGCCACCAGACTCCTTGTTGTTTTTGTAGATACAGACTAACACGGCTACCCCCTGATAAATGATTCCAAGAGCTCTCTCTTGTGCGGTAACAGCTTATTTAGATCCCATCATTTTATATGTATAGTTGGGGTTATGTCTTCCAATGTGCATTACTTTGTATTTATCAACACTGAATTTCATCTGCCATTTTGTTGCCCAGTCACCCAGTTTTGTGAGATCCCTTTGTAGCTCTTCGCAATCTGCTTTGGACTTAACTATCTTGAGTAGTTTTGTATCATCTGCAAATTTTGCCACCTCACCGTTTACCCCTTTTCCCAGATCATTTATGAGTATGTTGAATAGGACTGGTCCCAGTACAGACCCCTGGGGGACACCACTATTACCTCTCTCCATTCTGAAAACTGACCATTTATTCCTACCCTTTGTTTCCTATCTTTTAGCCTGTTACCAATCCATGAGAGGATCTTCTCTCTTATCCCATGACAGCTTACTTTGCTTATGAGCCTTTGGTGTGGGATCTTGTCAAAGGCTTTCTGAAAATCTAAGTACACTGGATCCCCCTTGTCCACATGCTTGTTGATCCCCTCAAAGAATTCTAGTAGACTGGTGAGGCATGATTTCCCTTTACAAAAAACATGTTGGCTCTTCCTCAACAAATTATGTTCATCTATGTGTCTGACAATTTTGTTCTTTATTATAGTTTCAACCATTTTGCTCGGTATTGAAGTCAGGCTTACCGGCCTGTAATTGCCAGTATCATCTCTGGAGCTCTTTTTTAAAATTGGCGTCACTTTGCTATCCCCCACTCATTTGGTACAGAAGCTGTTTTAAATGCTAGGTTACAAACCACAGTTAGTAGTTCTGCAGTTTCACATTTGAGTTCCTTCAGAACTCTTGGGTGAATACCGTCTGGTCCTGGTGACTTACTACTGTTTAATTTATCAGTTTGTTCCAAAACTTCCTCTAATGACACCTCAGTCTGGGACAGTTCCTCAGATTTGTCACCTAAAAAGAATGGCTCCGGTTTGGGAATCTCCCTCACATCCTCAGCCGTGAAGACCGATGCAAAGAATTCATTTAGTTTCTCCGCAATGGCCTTCTCATCCTTGAGTGCTCCTTTATCATCTCGATCGTCCAGTGGCCCCACTGGTTGCTTAGCAGGCTTCCTGCTTCATAGAATCATAGAATATCAGGGTTGGAAGGGACTTCAGGAGGTCATCTAGTCCAACCCCCTGCTCAAAGCAGGACCAACGCCAACTAAATCATTAAAACCTGGCGATGCTGGGGAATGAACCCAGGGCCTCATACATGCAAAGCATGTGCTCTACCACGGAGCTACATCCCCAGACAAATGCTTCTGATGTACTTAAAATAATTTTTGCTATTACTTTTTGAGTCTTTGGCTAACTGTTCTTCAAATTCTTTTTTTGGCCTTCCTAATTATATTTTTACACTTCACTTGCCAGAGTTTATGCTCCTTTCTATTTTCCTCACTAGGATTTAACTTCCACTTTTTAAAGGATGCCTTTTTGCCTCTCACTGCTTCTTTTCCTTTGTTGTTTAGCCACGGTGGCACTTCTTTGGTTCTCCAGCTGTTTTTTAATTTGGGGTATACATTTAAGTTGAGCCTCTATTATGATGTCTTTAAAAAATTTCTGAGTCTTCATAGCCTGTCTTGACCACAGAGCTGGGTCAGGGGCAGAGCCTGACTTTTATGTAAATACTGTAAAATTATTGCAACTAATTGATAATAAACAGTGCCCTGGAGCCAATCTAGTGCTGACAGGAGGTGGGGGCTGTTAGGGGTGTGGCTGGCTGGTGCAGAGAGCCATGGGGTGTGACTGTGTCCTCATTCAAACTAAAATACAGGCAAAAGCTGCCTGAGTGTTTAAGAAAACACAAGCCACAAAGTGGGGGAGCTCTGCCCCCTGCCTCAGTGACCTTCCTCATCTGAGTCACATGGTGGGGGGCTCTCTATCACAACTGCAGGCCTGTCTGTGTGCCCCTTGTGCGTGTAGCCAGTCCAGGATGTTTGGCTCTTTGGCAAGGCCCAGCTCCAAATTAGGAATGAGGATTTCTCTAGTGGGGTTGGATTGAGCCAGTCCCCATAGGGATTTTCCTCACTGTACTCTCTATCTTCATTGGCAGTTATTCTTAATGCTGGAGGAAGAAGGGTTAGAGGTCAGGGAACAGCAGCTGCGGGGGGGGGGGGGGGGGGACCCCCCCCCCAACCCCCAGCCTGACCTCCCCGTGCAATGTTGTGGCTTAGCTGGAAGATCTAATTTTAGGAGGTGATAACCCCTCCCCTGTGACTTCCCCAACAGATAGCAAGTCAGCTTGTGCAGCATTAGCAAGACATATTTAGGAATAAGATCCAGGTACGGGTCCCTGGAAGAGAGAAGGACCCAAAGAATGCCCAGTTTTACTGAAACGAGGCAGTGCACAATGGGAGAGGAAGGTGTATGATGTCATTTTAATACCCTTGTTTGCAATTATTCCTGTTGCAAATACTAGCTGCTATAGGACCTGGGGGAATAGGTAGGGTGTAAAGGGATGTGGGTCTCCCAGGACTCAGAGCTAGAGCTCAGAGCAGGGCCCTCTATAATGTGATTATGCAACTGTATAAAGGGCCCCACAATTTCTTTCTGCCAGGATGGTGCATAAAACCAAATCCATTTTCCAGCCCTCAGCTTGTCGGCTGCTGTACAGGAGCTTGCAGGAGGGGAAAACTGTAGCTGGCTGAAGAGCAGAGGGAACCTGCAACAGCATGGAGTAGAGGGGGCTGATACACTTTCTTGGAGGAAACAGGGAGGTGGCTGACACTTGAAACTCTTTAGGCCTGAACTCTGGCCAGCTAAGGGCCATGTCAGATACCATCCCCAGCTGTACATCTCTTAATGCACTGCTCTCCCTGCCAGCCTCTTAAGATGCCCCCACTGCCTCTCATGACAGTGCCTGCCCCCTACTTCTCCCTTTTAGGAACAGCACAGCTTATTGAATGACTTTGCAGTTAATAGTGCTGCCTAGTACTGCAGAGCTCATTGTAGCCCACTCACTGAAATAAGGAGTTTTGCTGCATAATCTAAGATTTATGTGCTGAATAATACAAAGACTGAGGGTCTAGGAGGAGTGGAGAGCTCCTAGTCTTACCCTAAGATTTCAAAAGCCAATTACATTACCTACAATAGCGCTTTTAATTTCCAAAAAAGGGTAACCAAGGTTGTGTTCTGCCCTAAAGGAATTACCAGGGAGCTTGTCTCTGACCTGCAGAGGGCTCCGCAGAGCAAGCTAGTCTTGCTGACCCCTGAAAGGACATGGGTACAGCCGTCTGCTCAAGGAGAGGCCCACAAACAGTAGTTCTTTGAAAACAGAAATAATCTTTATTAAAAAGGAGATAAGTTACAGGAAATTTAATAAAGGAAGAAAGAAGGCATAGAACATAAGGAAACAATAAGATTACATGTAATATAATGGCACAGCAAAATAAAAGACAGACTATATAAGAAAACACACACCTAAAATAAATATAACAGTTTCAACATAGCATATATATGAATAAATAAGAGAGAGAGAGAGAGATTCCTCATACACAAGAGTTTTTCATTCTAGTAATACAATACTTAATACAGTGAAATATGCGTGGCCTCTATATACACCTATGAGTACAGTCACAGTTAAAAGCAATTACTTGACATCCACATTAATACCTATCATTAGACATTTAACATTTGATTAACATTTAACTATTCACACTTAACCCTTAACATCGTAACATTTAACATCCGGTAAGCGCTGGCCAGGCTATCAGATGGGTAGTAGGGGAAGATCTCACTCAAACCACAGGCAATCATCTTTATTTACAGGTGAAACCCATACACTCTTGGATAGTAAATAGAAAATTAGGCTTACACAGACACCACAATTCCCTCTGATCGTCTAAGACAGTAGTTCTCAAACTTTTTTTTCCCCCCCCACAGACCACTTGAAAATTGCTGAGGGTCTCGGCGGACCACTTAATGATCTTTCCAAGTGTTGTTTGTACCGTTCGTTAACTATTGTAAAGCTCTTTGGATAAAAGCGCTATTAAAAAATTTTTTGTTCTACAAATAAAGGCACAAAACTCATATTTTAATATCAGTAGTCTTACCTTTCTAATGCGATGGATGTGCCCTCTCTCCCCCACCACAGCAGCCCCTGAGCTGGGGCTAGGAAGGAGGGGCGGTGTCTCCCTCTCTCCCCTGCCTCAGCAGCCCCTAAGCTGGGGCTGGGAAGGAGGGGGAGGGTCTCTCCCCGGCAATCGCAGCCCTGGAGCTGAGGAAAGTCGCCTCTTTCTCTGGCTGCCGCAGCCCTGCACATCCCAAATTCCCCCCACTCCCTCTTCTCACCCCACTGCCCACTCCCACCTACCCCCTGTTCCCCCCCCCCCCCCCCGGCCACCACTTTACCTTACATGTGAGCCTTCTCCAGGGTCCAGGCACCTAATTAGTGAAGCCACACCTGCGCGGCTCCACTAATTAGGTAGGTGGCCCTTCCTTTTTGTTGTGTGCGGCCGCCCAGGCGCGCACCTTAGAGGGAACTATCCACGGACCACCTGAACGGAGCTCGGACCACAGTTTGAGAACCTCTGGTCTAAGAGGTCCTTCTGTTCGGTCAAGGAGTCTGTTGGTTATCTGCTGCTCTGGTACAGATGGGTGCTTCAGCAGGAGCTGCTTGCTGCGGTGGCAACTGCCATTGAGGTAAAGGCGGCTGCAGAGGCGAATGCTGCCTGCTGGTTGCTGAGGCGGTGTGGTAGCTGCTGCTGGCTGAGTTGCTTATGGTAGTAGTTGCCTTGGCAACCTCAGGGTTCTCGTGCTGCTGCTTGCAGGTGGCTGCAGCTTCTGTTCTTTAAGCTCTGAACCCACTACTACTAGCTCAGCCTATTGGCTGCTGCCCTTATATACTGTGTGCTCTCTCACGGTTCAATCCTTTCAGCCAATCAGCTTTCTAGCTCCGCCCTAGTCCCTCCTTTGTCATGTTAGCTTTAAGCCCCTCCTAGTCACATGTACCTGTAGATCATCCTCTTTGGACATCCTCTTTAAGCTCCTCTCCTGACGCCATCTTGGATTTTAGGGCTTTTTGCTGAGTCATTCCGTACAGGAAGTGGAATTTCCTAGTATGTCACAGGAAATGTAATTTCCTACTACCTCACACTGTATCTCTCAGAGATGGAATCTTCCCTTACCCTTTCCCTATAGCCATCATTTTGGTCAGCCATGTTGGATTTTCTCCATTTAAATTATCATTCATTTCTACTTAATTAAAGGCTTTATCTTAAAACTAATTACTCTTTTATGCAGCCCAAAGGGGCCTGATACTGTTACCACTCTAATTATTTCAATTGGGGGAAGTGAATTTTATGGCAATTATAAACCCCTTCCAAGGTTTTTCTGCAAGCTGCTACAAGAACATCTAAAAGCACAATCTCTTGGTACACCAGGGGGGAAAGTCCTGCAAAACTTGAAAGAGAGGGTGTGGTAGAGAAAAGATGCAGAGCCACTGCTGGAACACTGCATAACCAGCTTTTTGTGCATGCACATAAGGGCAAATGGGAGTGTGGTTCTGGGATGTGTACGGTAGTGATTGCACAGACAATTCCATTCACATTTCCTGGCATAGACGCCAACTTCTCCTGGCGCCGGTGGGTGCTCGTGCCCCCTCGGCCCTGCCCTGACTCCACCTCTGCCCCACCCCCATTCCAACCCCTTTCCCAAATTCCCCACCCCAACTCCGCCCCCTCCCTGCCCCTATTGGACTCCTTCCCCAAATCCCCGGCCCCGCCTCTTCCCTGCCTTCTCTCCTGATCACGCCGCGTTCCCACTCTTTCCCCCCTCCCAAAGCGTGTTGTTTCGCGGCTGCAAGTGCTGGGAGGAGAAGTGGGGACAGCGCGCTCAGGGGAGGAGGCGAAGGCGAGGCGGAAGCAGAGGTGAACTGGGGCGGCGGAGCGGGGGTGCTGCAGGTCCAGAGCACCCACAGAGTTGGCACCTATGTTTCCTGAGCTGCATATGCCAGAGAGTGCTGGCCCCACACAGAGAAAGGAGGGGCAAGGCAAAACCCAGAGAGGGGCCTACTAGAAAGGCCGTGTCTGCTGCTCATTGTGCGCACTAGGACTGCCGTTGAGCTGTGTGTGTTATGACCCCTGGGGTTGAGCTGTTCAGCGTTGAGGAAAGATTTTGTATTTCCATCTCAGCTAAGCTGTACACTTCGTTCTATAAATAGGGTGACCAGACATCCCACTTTTAAAGGGACAGTCCTGAATTTAAGCCCTACTGCAGATGTCCCGACTTTTTCTTAAAAATTGGCAAATTGTCCCGTATTTTCTGTCTCCCCCCCATCAGAACCGGTGGGTCCTGCTGCTGGTCGGGACCTTGCTCGCCAGCCCACCCATGGCCGGGGGTGGGGGTGGTCCAGTGGCCACCGGTGGGGGTGCAAGGCTGGTGGCGGGGTGAAGATGCAGCGCGCAGGGCCAGCCGCTCCCCTGCTGGTCTGTAAGCGCAGCCTCCGCTGCGTGCCAGTTCTCAGCCAGCAGGGCCCTGTCCCCTGTCCCGTTTCCGGCCGGCACTGGCTGCGCACTGCGAGCTGCGGTGGCTGATGAGTGTGAGTAGGCGCCAGGCGGTGGCCAGTTACGTGTCACCTCTGCTGCCCACCCATTGGCCCTTTACGTGTTCCCCCTCTTCCTGTCCTCTCCCTGCTACACTTCTTCACCCCTGCTGCTCCTCCATATCCCCCCCAGTGGGTCTCGTCCAGCTCCCAGCACTGTGCAGAGAACCAGCCCCTGGTTGGAGTGTTCGGCCTGGCCGGCAGGCGCCTTCCTTCCCCCACTGCCTCTGGCTGGGCTAACGCCCCAGGAAAGCCCAAGACCCTCTGGCCCGGGTCGCTGGCCAGGAGGTGCTGAGCCCTGCATGTGCCAAAGGGGACGCCGCACCACCCCTCAGCTAAGCTCTGGAGTGGCAGGGAGGAGCGATTTCCAGCCTGTTCACGCCCTGAATCTTCATGCTCCACAGCAGCCCCCAGGGCAGGGGCTTAGCACTCTCTTCAACTGCCCCAGGTCCTGTCCCATGGAGCGCAGGGCTGCTCCATCCCCTAGACACTCTCCCCTGCTGAGCCACCTCTCTGGCTGGGTTCGCTGAAACCCCTGCAGTCAGGTTTCCTGGGCCATGGTGCATGGTTTTGGGATTAACCCCTTCTTGCCTGTGCTTAGCCAGGGGACAGGAGGCGGTTGGGTTATGTCGGTGGCCAGCAGCAGCCTGGAGGTGTTAGCTGCCTTTCGACACTGTGCAGGCAGGAAGGGCCCACCTGCTTCTAGCCACACGGGCTGGGGGGGGGGGGGGATGAGCTCTGCAAAGACATGGGCCAGGTAATTTCTTCCCCCACCTCCCCTGCAGCTGGAAGCAGCTCCCATCCCTTCCCTCCGGCACAGTGCCAAAAGGCTGCTGTTGGCCACATTCTGATGTGAACCCTGGCAGAAATCTGGAGAGCGGGGGGCAAGAGACCCTGCGTGGCGCCCCCCCCCCCCCAATGTGTTGCCTTGGGAAGACGCTACACCAGGTACCAGGATAGGAGAGTCCATACCGGGGGCCCAGCCAAGCATGGAGGGTGGAGAGCACCAGGGAGGGAGGGGAGGGTCAGTCGGTCACCCACCCTCTGTGTGTGGGGGTGTGTGTGGGGGGGGTAGGAGTGGGGGTGTCACCCCTCCCCATATGAACCCTAAAGCCTTAAAGATAAGATAAATAAAAAGAATCCAACGATGCAGTATTTCTTTTTAACAGGCTCAGTCAACTTGATGTTAATTTGAATGTTTGTACTGCATAGTTCTGATTGATTGCCGTTGAACTCGCTTGAATAGAAGTAATTTTACCAGGTGTCCCGTATTCAGCATAGGAAAATATGGTCACCCTATCTATAAATAGCCTCCAGGGAGCTTTCAAAGGGTTTACTTTGTGGCTGGATAGACTTGCTGCTAGGAGAGAGTTAGAAGCAGGAAACTGTTAAAACAGGTGCAAAGTTATGAGTACAGTAAAATGACCCTATCCCAAGCTGTCCAAGGTCTTCTAACTATTCTGAAGCCAGTGCTGTTTCCAGGGGCCTTGCTGTGATCTGATCCCATGTCCCTTTCTTCACCACATACCTCCGGTGGTGCAGAGGAACTCGCTCCACTCAAGGACACCCCTCCCATCTAAACCAGACTAAAAAGGAAAGCAGGAGCTCTTGGTATCGCACTTCCAGGAGCTCCTGAACACCCCAGGTCTCAAGTAGAGCCGTGAGCTCTGCCTCCATGAGCTACTACATGGTAAGTCTCTCAAGAACCAATGGTATTTAGATCCGCAAGGGGCTGCTTTTACTGCATGTGCCAAGGCTTGCAGGGATGCTTACTTAAAAAGCCCTGCCCAATTGTGTCCTGGCATATGTCTCTTTCACACATGAGAGAAGAATCTACTGCTCTCTGTGGGTTCAACTGCTTTACTCTCTACAACCATCTTCCCAAACTGAGTATGCCAGGGATCCTTGTGTACCTCACAGGTGTGCCTGCAGATGGCGCAAACCCAGGAGAAGGGCTACTTGCCCCTAGAGCCACTCTGGGACACTGGAAGATGGAGCTTGTTGGCTTGTGCAGGACAGCATCTCCAGCAATGTAGCACTGCTGCTCCTTTTGTAGATTATTTTTTAAGCTAGAAAGGACCAATATAATCATCTAGTCCAAGGGTGGGCAAACTTTTTGTCCCAAGGGCCACATCTGGATATGGAAATTGTATGGTGGGCCATGAATGCTCACAAAATTGGGGTTGGGGTGCAGGAAGGGATGAGGGCTCTGGCTGGGGGTGCGGGCTCCAGGGTGGGGCCAGAAATAATGAGTTCAAGGTGCAGGAGGGGCTCCGGGCTGGGGCAGAGGGTTGGGGTGCAGGGCGGGTGAGGGCTCCGGCTGGAACTGCGGGCTCTGGGATGGGGCTGGGGATGAGGGGTTTGGGGTGTAACAGGGTGCTCCAGTCTGGGACAGAGGGGTTCGGAGGGCGGGAGGGGGATCAGGGCTGGGGCAGGGGATTGGGGCCCGAGAAGGGGGTGGGGGTGCAGGCTACGGACAGTGCTTACCTCAAGCAGCTCCCAGAAGCAGCAGCATGTCCCCTCTCCAGCTCCTACGCAGAGGTGCGGCCAGGCGGCTCTGCGTGCTGCCCTATCCGCAGGTGCCACCCCTGCAGCTTCCATTGGCCGCAGTTCCCGGCCAATGGGAGCTGCGGGGCAGTGCTTGGGGCAGGGGCAGCATGCGGAGCCCCCTGGCTGCCCCTACGTGTAGGAGCCAGAGGGGGAGATGCCGCTGCTTCTGGGAGCTGCACAGAGCTGTGGCACGCGCTGAGCGCCCCCTCCCCGCCCCGGCTCGAGTGCGGGAGCAGGGCAAGCCCCAGACCCTGCTCCCCAGTGGGAGCTCGAGGGCCAGATAAAATCGGCTGGTGGGCCAGATGTCACCCATGGGCCGTAGTTTGCTCACCCCTGATCTAGTCTGACCTTCTGCATAACACAGTCAAGAAAACCTCACCCAGTGATTTCTGCATTTATCCCATAACATGTGTTTGAGTTATAACATCTCTTTGTAAAAAGATACGTAGTCTAGATTTAAACACTTTGAGTGCTGGAGAAGCCACCACAGCCCTAGGTGATGTGTTCCAATGGTTAATTACTCTCACTATTCAAAATGTGCCTCATTATTTCTGGTCTGAATTTGACTAGTTTCAGCTTCCAACCACTGGATCTTGTTATCCCTTTTTCTGCTAGATTAGAGATTACTATCAGCAACATCTACCCTGTGTAGGGCTTGTTACTAGAGCATTGCGTACCTCTTAACCTTTTTTTTAGTGATGTAAATAGTGAGATATGTGAGAATCTTCAGCTATAAGGCATGGTTTCCAGACGTCAAATCATTCTGGTAGTTGCTCCTTAATGCCCTATCAGAGTGGTAGGAGATAGATGGCAGGACTCTGTGCTGCTCTACGGGCATGGCAGTAGATTGAACAGGCCCACTCTACTCACCCCAGTGCAAACTAGGGATCACTCCAGTGATTTCAGTGTTACATTGGTATGAATCTGGTCATGGAAAGTTATTTACAAGAGAGTGACAAGTGAAGGATGGGGGCTTCTGGAACTTTGTACCTAAAAAGAGACAGAGGCTTGAGGTAATGCATTACGCTTCAGTTACAGAACTAAGAAGGGAAGTGGGTTAGAGGCAGCCACAGTCCCTTTTCATGCTGCATTCTAACCTGTTCTTCCTTGCTTCAGCCTCAGGTAGGGGAAAATAGAGCAGTGGAGACTTTTGCAGTCCCAGACTCCCTTTACAGAAGTGTAGCCACAGGCCAGGGAATCTGTTCATAGCCCACGCTCACCCAGCATCAACAAGAAATGCAGCTACACCTTGTAAGGTTTGGTCCTTAAAGGCAGCTTTGTTGCTAACAAAGGAAGAGCAGGAGGTGGTAAACGCTCTTAGCTGAAGAACCAAAAATGACAGAAGAAGCCACAATTCCATTCCAGAGTTGCTGGGGAAATGCTCTTATTGCTTGCCTACCCTTGGTAATACCAGAATAGCTATTCTGGAATACAGTAATTATTCTAAAATAGTTATTCCAGATAAATTCTCATATGGACACTCTTACTAGTCTAGTACATTTCAAGTGTAGATTAGCCCTTGGGTTTCACCAACTAACTCCTCAGAATTTAAGGGCAATATTTCTAACATACTAATAATCTAATCAGACTAACTAATATCACATTTGTTAGGATTCAAGTTAGTGAAAATTGCCAGATGGCCACTACACAGACAAACCCTTAGCATGAATTGCTACGTTGGGTGTTATTTTTAAAATGGTTGACTCCTAGTGTGCCAAAAACAGTGGTCTCGCAGAGTTTTGGAGCATTATTTCAAAATAATCTGTGTTATAGCCAATTAGCTTTTGTCCTGGGCTGGGCTGCAGAGTACTGGAGTTTCCAATGCATAGAGACTATTTAATACTAAAATAGAATGTGAGAATCTGCAGCTCAATTAGACTGTGTGCACATTAGAGACCTGCCCTCTCCCTCTGCTGAGCTTGATCTGTGCGCTCTCTGCAGGAGGCCAGGCCAGCACTGTAGCCTGTCAGAGGGAATGCCTGGCCCTTTCCTTCAATCCCCACTAATCCTCTGGAAATCCGAGCAAGGCAGCAAGAAACCTGAGACTCCTGCCTCTCTCTGTTCTAGCTGCACCCAGCAAGGAGCGCTGCTCAGCTGGAGACATCTCAATGTCCCTGTTTTGAAATCTTAAAATAACCTCTAATCCCTCAGGAAATGCCAGAAATGTTCATCACCCAGATCCAATTCTGAGGAAACCGAGGGGAAGGAACAAGGGATGTAGAGGGAGAGGGAGAGGGGTCAAAGATGAGATCTGAAAGGAAGACTAGGTAAGCTGCAGAGGGGAGGGCACGGGTGCTTGGCTGAAATACCAACAAGTATGCACATACATAACTCTATTTACAGGAGTAAAATGCTGAAGATCGTGCTGTGTCTGCTCCAAGTGTCAGATCCCTGTTCCCCCTCACCTGCTCATCCTGAGGACTGCAGCAAGCCTCTGGCATGGAGGGGTGGGGATGCCAGGAGGACCCTGCAGAGTACTGTGCAGGTGAGTCCCAGGGAGTGTTACCAGTTTGGTACCCAAACCTCCTTGCCATTCAGCCTGGGAGATTTGTAGACTCTGGGCTGAATTGTTGAGGTCAGTCCTTCTTTCTGTTTGGTAATGTTTTGAAGGCCTATCCCACTAATGGGGCTATTGGTGATCCATCTCTGTAGGAGGCTACTACCCTGTGCAGAAGGGAGACACATTCAGTGGAAGATACCAGGTGGTGCACAAGCTGGGCTGTGGCTACTTTTCTACAGTCTGGTTGTGTCAGGACATGGTGTGAGTAGCACAATAGAGACTATTCCAAAGGGAGGGGAACTCTGTAGAATGGGGCTGTAAAGGGATGTTCAGAGTCCATCCGGGGGGAAAGGGAGGAATTGACCCTCTCTATCTGGGCAGAGGAAGGAACAGCCCAGAGGAATAGCCCGCCCTGAAGGCAGGGATGTGGGTGTTTGGGGGGTGGTGGGAGGGGATCAGCAGAGCTAGGTCAGCTGTGAGGCATTATTTCCCAAGCAGCCATGACAAGAGGGCTCCATTGGAGTAGGTCTGACAGCAAGAATCAGAGGGGAAGGGTCTCTAGGAAGGGAGCTGGTGCTTGAACACTAGGCAAACAGCCTAGGTTAGAGAGAAGGGAGATGACATTGGTGGGTGGAATGCTTTGTAGTCTGCGGTGCTGAGCTGTGCCTGCAGGAAACCCTACTGGATTCGTGTTTGGCCCTGAAGGGGACAGGTCTTCCTTTATATTTACTTTTCTGATTTATAATATGCTCTGTCTCAGCCTGGCCAGACCTCTCCTGCTCCCAGAGGACGATGGAGCTCTAAGATTAAAGTAATAGTTGCCAGAGGGAGATGAATACAGGTCTCCACCCTGCTGTGTGTGGAAGGTATGAGGGTGGGGATGTTAGAGGCAGAGGAGAGGTGTAGGGCAGCCTCTCTCAGTACAGAGCACAGGCATTAGGGTGGGTCACTACAGGGAAAGGAAAGACATGGAGACTCCTCCAGGCTGTATGATGGGAAACTGGGCTGGACAGAACTTTTGTGCACTGGTCTGCTGGTGTGATTCCTTTCACAGAGAGAAGAGGCGTGTAGCTGTGAAGGTGGCCAAGGGTGGGGAGAGCTTTGCTGAGGCTGCCCAGGATGAAATCTCTCTCCTCCAGTGTGTATGTACCTTCCCTGGCTGCACTCCAGGGAGCGTGTTGGCTCATTTGGTTTCTGCACTGTGGGGATTGCAGCTGTTTTCAGAGCTCTGCAGTACGAGTCCACCTCCTCTAACAGGTCTCAGCCTGATGGGAGCCTGGCTGGCAGCAGGGAGAACACATCAAACTCTATGTAGAAAAGAGCCTCAGGTCCAGCATTTGCTTCTGAAACAGCCTTCCCCCCCAGGGGTTCTATTTCTGGTATGTTTAGTGATCATTCTGTTCTTCTTTGAGTGGGAGCAGACATGTATCCCACTCAGGTGTGCATGCGCCCAGTGCACTGAAGCTGGAGAACTTTGCCTAACGGTACCTATGGGCGGTGCTCATGCCTTGTGGCTCTTGCCCTTCCCCTAGCTATTTAAGGATAGCGACGCCCTGACCCCTCTCTGTTCCTTCTCACTGCCTCTGGCTGGAGTTTGAGCATTCTGTGGTGCTTGACTTTACATGTGTTTTCCTCAGTTTCTCTAGGAATTTATTGTATATAGTTCATTGTTAATGTAACTTAGTAGTGCTGGCACCATTCCAGTCTGACCCAGCGTGGTCGCCTGGCAGGGAGGTGTAGTGTTGCAGATGAGTCCTTTTTTGATCTTCCCCTCACCCAGCATTTCAACGTGTTAAACAGCCCTTTTAAGTGCTAACGAGCAGCTCCTTCTGGACTCCTGGTGCCAGTCCATATAACTGCCTCTGGTTTTGGCCATGGGGCATCTGTTGAGTCTGGTATTGATGATGGCAGCATCGGCAATATAGAACCATAGGACTAGAAGGGACGGCAACAGTCATCTAGTCTAACCCCCTGCCAAGGTGCAGGATTTGTTGTGTTAAACCATCCAAGACAGGTGGCTCCAGCCTCCTTTGGGAAACCTCCAGTGAAGGAGCTTCCATGACCTCCCGAGGCCTCTGTTCCACTGTCCTACTGTTCTTAGTTAGGAATTTTTTTCTGTGCTTTAATCTAAATCTGCTGACATATTTTTCACTGGCCATATCAGATGATGGGCCAAAAATTCTAATCTTCAGGTTCTCAAAGTGATACCATTGTTGTTATTTGTTACCTGCACTGCAGTAGTGTCTAGATCTCATCCTCGTTGTGCTAGGTGCTGTACAAACAAACAGCAAAGAGATGGCCCCTGCCCCAACGAGCTTACAATATAAACATAAGCCAAGAGAGAACAACTGGATGGGGGTGCACAAGGAAACAATGAGACAATTCTGATGAGCATGATAAGCTGTGGCCATGTGGAAGAACAACCTTTCCATATATGTGGGAAATACCCTTGGAAGGGAGTCAGATGTGATGGGTTTAGTGGTGGCAAGTACCCCCAGAGGGGGATTGTCAGGAAATATCTGAGCTGATCAGACACAGCTAGGCTATTTATGGGGAACTGTGTCTACCCTTCACCTGGGATACGGCTGGATAATTGTGAGGGAATTCACCATAGGGGATCGGACTCCGCTAATGTAATTGGAGTTGGGTTTGTTCAATTCCCTCATTGTTGGGTTTCACCAATAAAACATACATGAAAGCATCCAAATTAAACAACTATCCACTAACAAAATATCCCAAGCAGAGCTATTAGCCCCCAAAAGTGGAGAGACTTACTATAGAATCCACTAGGGACCTTGCTATTGATTTTTACATGGAAGAGGCTCAGATATTATGGTGGTGGATGGCAGGGTAAAATGCAGAGCGCGAGATCCGATACATGTATTCCACTAAATAAGAGGTTTTTTTAACCACTCTTAGGTGAGCAGCATGAAGAAGAAGGACCGGGCAGGGGAGAATATTGTCCATTGTTTAGATGACTTTAAAATGATTGGAGCAAATGGCTTCCATATCCTTCAGCTATGAATAGTGGCTTTCTCTGTTTGCAATGTCATCAGCCAGACAGAATGCTATGGTGTTGAAAAGACTGGCTGTGTCCCTGTGAGAGGGGCGGGCCTGGAATTGGGAGCAAGGGGCCAGCCTGGGGTATGTAGAATGGCAGCTGGGAGTGGGAGAAGGGGGCTGGACTGGGGGATGGGAGTGTGGGATGGCGGCTGGGAGTGAAGGACTGGCCGATGGGGCGTAGGATGGTAGCTGAGAGCGGGGGCTAGTCTGGGGGGCATAGGATGCGGCTGGGAGCGGGAGCCAGGGGCCAGTTTGGTGGGGGGGCATAGGATGGTGGCTGGGAGTGAGGGGTGTCTGCGGCTTGTCTAGTTAACATCAAAGTGAATGGGGATAGCATTCTCTCTCTCTCTCAGTGAATCCCTGACTTTCCTACATGTGTGCTTGGTGTTTGAGTTGCTGGGCCCTTCTCTGCGATGTCTGATGAGGAGCCATGGAACCCAGGGTCTCCCCTTGCCCTTTGTGAAAAAAACCTTACAGCAGGTGAGAGTTCTGAGCACTGGAAGGGTGAGGACACGGAGGGGCGGGCGAGGCCTGCGGGGTAGAGAGGATAGCTGGGCAGAGTGGGTGTGCAGTGGAGGAATCTTTTAGAACACTCAGGATTATTTTACTAAAGCATAAAATCCAAATGTGGTTTTGTCCCAAATTTAAATACAGTTCCTGTGAGATGGAGATCATTTCCCTACCCAATTACACATCTGCCCTCTCACTTACACCTCTTAGGCTAGTGTGTTTTTATCTTCCAGTGAAGAGGACTGGACTAGCTAGCTATATACTGGATGGGTTTGTCTGCAGTTTATTCCAGTGTGATTAAAATAAATCCACAGAGGAACAGATCGAAGGGGTCAAACTTATTACAAGGAAATACTGGCCAGTTGTCCCTTCATGAAAGAAAGCAAAAAATAAAAATGTGACATAAATCCAAGAAAGAACAAATAGAGCAAAAGCTGAGCCTGGGTCTCATCTCTTGGGATATCTGGACCATTTGCTATTCTTCAAACCCAATAAAGCCATATCAACCTGCCAGATCTCATAAACTAAGCAGCATCAGGTTGCAGAAACAGACCCTGAGGCACTACTGAGGCACTTCTTTACTTTATGTATTAAACTGATGTGTGCTGTTACTGTGCACTACGGAACAACTTCCTCATCTTGCTCCAGAGGTGCCTGCACTTCAGTGGCAGAAGTAAGCTCTGTCTAGATTTATTTCTCAAACGCATCAGGACTTTTTGCTATGAAAAGTCAATAAAAATCCAATATATTTTTAAGATATTACCAAATTAGTTAACAAAAAATACCAAAATGATGAAATAACTAAAAAGCTGATAGCTAACAGGAAATACAAGTATATGTTTTAAACTGAATTGTGTGGCAGTACCTAATCTTAAAATGCATACGGTGAAAGAGTCATCATGTCCTTACGTGACCTTTGGGTTGCCTAGCCTAGCCCCTAATTTTACTGGAATTTTAAAAGAGCTGCTTGTTGAGATTTCAGTGGCCTTTTGTAGACCTGTGCCTGGGAAATTCACTACTGATATTGTTGAGGTTACAAGTTGCAAAATGACTTATTTAGAAAGTTGGTTCAGCTCAGAATAGTCAGTATTATGGAGTGTTACTTCACTGAGCAACTCTTGAAAATTAATCTGCTGTCCACAGGGACACATGAAACAAATCTGCCTGTCATCCATACTGTCTGTTGACATAAGAACCTCCATCCGGCTGCGGTAGCTTTGACAACATCATGGAAAATTCTTTTTTCCTCCCTCCACAATTAAAAAATCTGCTGTTGACAAGCTGGCTTCAGTGTGCAGTCATAGCCAGCACTGAAAGCAAGATACTCAGGAAGACCACTTAGTTAAACAGTCTTGAGTTGGCTCCAGTTTGGCTGTGAGGTTTGTCTATATAGCTTTCTTCATGGTATTACAAATTGCTAGCACTTTGCTTCATAGCTCTCTCTCTTTCCTTCCATGCAACACAACCAGAGGCCTGAGCTGCAGCAAGTGCCATGGCTGAATGATGTTTTCATTCATGCTCTGATCGGAACCACAATCTTTCTCCATCCGCTGCATAGTCTTGACATTTTACTTAAACAAACATGCCAGAAACAGCATTTCTTACACAGTGTCCATGAGCTGCTAGGGAATGGAAAAGGCTAACAGAGATCTCAAAGTTCTGTTATAATCACATGGTACATCTCAGAACTCTGAGTTTTTCAAGAGCTCTTTGCTGATCCACTTGTCAAGATGTCAGAGGAACATCTTGACAAGTGGGCAGATTGGGTGTGCAGTCCAGCACCCCCAAGCCTCCTCCAGAGGCTTGGTGTAGATGAAGTGGACTCTTCCTCCTTTAGCCTGTTTCTCAAATAGCATCTGAAACCCTCTACAGGTGGGAATTAACAGGCCATCTTACTCTGAATTAACTCCTGCCCTCATGGGAAAATTCATCTGAATGTCTTGGAACTAACAATCTGTGTGCTCAACTTCACTCAAACGTTGCTTCTCATTGTATCCCATCCTCCATCCTTTGTCTACTTAAGACTGTAAGATCTTGAATCAGGGGGTAGCCGTGTTAGTCTGTATCTACAAAAACAACAAGGAGTCTGGTGGCACCTTAAAGACTAACAGATTTATTTGGGCATAAGCTTTCGTGGGTAAAAACCTCACTTCTTCGGATGCATAGAGTGAAAGTTACAGATGTAGGCATTATATACTGACACATGGAGAGCAGGGAGTTACTTCGCAAGTGGAGAACCAGTGTTGACAGGGCCAATTCAATCAGGGTGGATGTAGTCCACTCCCAATAATAGATGAGGAGGCGTCAATTCCAGGAGAGGAAAAGCTGCTTCTGTAATGAGCCAGCCACTCCCAGTCCTTATTCAAGCACAGATTAATGGTGTTAAATTTGCAAATGAATTTTAGTTCTGCTGTTTCTCTTTGAAGTCTGTTTCTGAAGTTTTTTTGTTCAATGATAGTGACTTTTAAATCTGTAATAGAATGACCAGGGAGATTGAAGTGTTCACTTACAGGCTTATGTATGTTACCATTCCTGATGTCCGATTTGTGTCCATTTATTCTTTTGCGGAGGGACTGTCCAGTTTGGCCAATGTACATGGCAGAGGGGCATTGCTGGCACATGATGGCATATATAACATTAGTGGATGTGCAGGTGAATGAGCCCTTGATGGTGTGGCTGACGTGGTTGGGTCCTCTAATGGTGTCGCCAGAGTAGATATGGGGACAGAGTAGGCAACGAGGTTTGCTACAGGGATTGGTTCCTGGGTTGGTGTTTCTGTGGTGTGTAGTTGCTGGTGAGTATTTGCTTCAGGTTGGGGGGTTGTCTGTAAGTGAGGACTGGCCTGCCTCCCAAGGTCTGTTAGAGTGAAGGATCATTTTCCAGGATAGGTTGTAGATCGTGGATAATGCGCTGGAGAGGTTTTAGCTGGGGGCTGTATGTGATGGCCAGTGGTGTTCTGTTATTGTCCTTGTTGGGCCTGTCCTGTAGTAGGTGATTTCTGGGTACCCGTCTTGCTCTGTCAATCTGTTTCCTCACTTCCCGAGGTGGGTATTGTAGTTTTACGAATGCTTGATAAAGATCTTGTAGGTGTTTGTCTCTGTCTGAGGGGTTGGAGCAAATTCGGTTGTATCTTAGGGCTTGGCTGTAGACAATGGATTGTGTGATGTGTCTTGGATGGAAGCTGGAGGCATGTAGGTACGTATAGCGGTCAGTAGGTTTCCGGTATAGGGTGGTGTCTATGTGACCGTCGCTTATTTGCACTGTAGTGTCCAGGAAGTGGATCTCTTGTGTGGACTGGTCCAGGCTGAGGTTGATGGTGGGGTGGAAATTATTGAAGTCCAGGTGGAATTCTTCAAGGGCCTCCTTTCCGTGGGTCCATATGATGAAGATGTCATCAATGTAGCGCAAGTAGAGGAGGGGCACTAGGGGACGAGAGTTGTATCACACCACTTGCTCCCATAATGCCCCTCTAGCCAGTCAAGGTAGGTAAGGTAAGACTGAAACTTCTGCCAGTATTTCTCTGCTGACAGCCCTATGCGGTCTAGGACAGCTGCCTTCACCACCTCGTAGTCCTTGGCCTGGTCGTTGCTCAGTGCCATAGAGGTGGCTTGAGCCTTGCTGGCCAGATAGGGAGCCAGTTATAGGGCCCAGGTTTCCCTATCCCATCCGGCACCTGTGGCTACCTGCTCAAAGGTACAAAGAAAGGTGTCCGGGTCATCAGCAGGGCCCATCTTACATAGGCCTAACACCGTCGTGCGGGTGCCCTCACTTCCCACCTTTGTAGGAGCTGCTGCTGCACTTTGGCCTGTTCCTTTATAAATTCCTGGGGAGTTTTCTGTTGCTCCGCCTGCCAGGTGAATAAGGCCTGCCTCTCTAGCTGGTGGGATTGCTGGAAGGCTTGCAGTGCCTTCTGCATCTCCTCCTGTTGCTTTGCTAGTCACTGCAGGGTTCCCTCCATCTCTGGCCACCAAGATCTTGCACTGGCTTCAGATCCTGGACAAACCCCCACATGTAGCGAGGTGCACACTGGACCCCTTTGGTTTAGGCCCCTGTTGCCCTCTCCAATCAGTCAGGAACACCTCAGCTTGATGCAACACCAGTGTTCTTTATTTACAGTTGTTTTCCCGCCACCACTTTCCACCTATGTACAGGTTTCGCAGCCAACTTTGCCAAGCGCCGGCCTGGCCAGCAACAGACCAGAAGACTCCCAGTTCCCTCTGTGCCTGGCCTTTCTCTTCCCCCCTTCCTCTGGCTTCCTCCCAGCCTTTATAGCCATGGCTAATGAGGCTGGCAGGTGCTGCCTGTTACCAGGCAGACACAGGGCTATTCACCCAGCCCCAATCCATTCCCCTTGATTGGGGCTGGAGTGGCAGGGGCTGAGTAAGTGTTTCTCACTCAGCACCCTGTCACAGATGCTGACTCCAAGCAGATGCATGGGATTCCCTATATAGGGATGGCCTCCTACAGAATTTTCAATGTCATCTGTGTCTCATTCTTCATAAACATCAGAATATGTGTGAAACACCAAGTCTATTATGTTGGACTCTTTCTCTTGTGACATCATCTAAAGCTGCTCCTAGGAATGGTCTCTGCATTCCTGATTGTTAATCACTGTCTCTGGTTCACACAGGTACTGGCAGGGCTACAGTTCCTGCATACAAATTGTCGGATTATCCATACAGACATCAAGCCAGAGAACATCTTGCTGCAGTTGGATGAGGAGAGTCTCCAGCAGCTTCTGCATGACACAGCTGCCTGGAGCCAAAGTATAAATCTGGGCCTAAAGAAACCAGGTAGGTAGAAAGGGTAAAGATTTGCAGAGTTTAGTACGGGAAGTGCATTGCCAGCAGATCGAGGAACGTGATCGTTCCCCTTTATTCGACATTGGTGAGGCCTCATCTGCAGTACTGTGTCCAGTTTTGGGCCCCACACTACAAGAAGGATGTGGAAAAATTGGAAAGAGTCCAGCGGAGGGCAACAAAAATGATTAGGGGTCTGGAGCACATGACTTATGAGGAGAGGCTGAGGGAACTGGGATTGTTTAGTCTGCAGAAGAGAAGAATCAGGGGGGATTTGATAGCTGCTTTCAACTACCTGAAGGGGGGTTCCAAAGAGGATGGAGCTCAGCTGTTCTCAGTGGTGGCAGATGACAGAACAAGGAGCAATGGTCTCAAGTTGCAGTGGGGGAGGTCTAGGTTGGATATTAGGAAACACTATTTTACTAGGAGGGTGGTGAAGCACTGGAATGCGTTACCTAGGGAGGTGGTGGAATCTCCTTCCTTGGAGGTTTTTAAGGCCTGGCTTGACAAAGCCCTGGCTGGGATGATTTAGTTGGGAATTGGTCCTGCTTTGAGCAGGGGGTTGGACTAGATGACCTCCTGAGATCCCTTCCAACCCTGATATTCTATGATTCTATGATTCTAAGTGGGACTCACACAGGTGCTAGGATTCCTGCGAGGAACAAGAACATTCCTGCTTACTGCACCCCAACCTCAGCCTATGGAAACTTCATACCAAGGGTAAATATACAGTAGGATAAATTCCTGCATTGGCTGGTGAGAGGCCATTGGCCTAGATGACCCTGTATTGGTAGGCCTTTTCCATTTCTTGCTTCCAGGAGTAAGCCCATCTGTCTCATATACCAACCACTTAAACCCCAGTCTAGGTCTGTTTGTGTATAGACATGCTGCTGCAGATGGGTTTGTGTGTAGGAACAACTGGAAAATTATGAGCATTTGCTGATGCCTTTCCATCGCTTCTGAGCAGTTACTCACAGCCTTACAGCACAATACAGCTCCACCTTGTATAGCACTTTTCATGCTAATTGTAACCCAAAGTACTTTGTTTTAACCATGCAAAGGCCCATCTCCAGTATCTGATGTTTAAAGGAGACCTGTGTTTACTGCTCTTCTTCAGGCTTATATAGGCATTGCAATGACTTCTCAGGGTCTCTTCATCTCAGTGCTTCCTCTGGTTGTGGATAGTACCTATGCAACGTTACTCAATGGGCTAATGTCTTTCCTGTGTCCTCTTTCACCTGGGGCAGTCTGTGCGGCCTGGAGTCAGTGCAGCCAGACCAACAGCCTTCATAAAGAGCCTAGGCTGGAAAATAAAACCCTCCCTTGGTTCTTGTTTGTTTGTTTGTTTTTTGCTTTATGCACTGGCTTCTGTGACTTTAAAATAAAACATTCTCATTTGTGACTTGTATTTTCTCCAAGACAGTTTAACAACAGCCACAGTCAAGATCAAACTCCTGTTTCACAAAGCTCAAGGTCCTGGCATTGAGAGCTGCTGGAACAGGCTCTCGTGTCTCAGAGAGTACAGTTATCCCAATAAATGTCCTTGCCTGACTGGGGCACCAGCAAGGCCCAGTTGCTTTCCATTAGTCCCAGCAAAATTTACGAAGTAGGAATTCCTATCCAGCCACTCTTTGCCCAGTTAGATTTATCACCATAGATCTGAGAACCATGTCTGACAACCAGAATCAGAGAGGGGGATTGTATTTGCACAGGAATGGAAACAAATCTGATCTGCTGAAAGGTAGCAGCAGCCTCAAAGCTATGCAGTTCATGGGGACATCGTGATGAGATGGACACGCAGCTCCCCCTGCTATTCTGACTCTGTTGATGCCCCTCAATCCAGCCCTGCAGCATTTCCCCCACTCCCTCCTACAGATCTGCTGATGCCCTTTAGTCCTGCCCACACATATACACAGCTCTATCACTGCAAACTAGTCCTCACTTGTGGTCCAGACAGTCACATTTGACAAGAAATCTTCAGAGGAGAACATCTAGTTCATGTTCTCAGTGTGTCCAACTACTCCATTCTATTCTGTTCTATTTAGGTTCTTATTCTGAGAACGCTATTTCCTTTCTGTAATTTAAACACAACACCAGCACTTGTATTCTGAGTCTTTGCACCAGAGATATTCCTCACCTTTTAGGAATGATTTGGGAGATGTAACACATTTTATGTCAGAGCTTGTCTCTTGGTGCTGCTGTTTCATGGACCTAATGTTTTGGGGTGAATGGTGACACTAAATTACTGACAGATTTTTGCTTGAATCAGGCTTGCATGATAGTGTATGACATATATTGACAAGCACTTCATTGTAAAGTAACATAATCTGGAAGATATTTGAGGGAAAGGGATGTCTTTTCCAAGTAGGGTGACCAGATAGCAAATGTGAAAAATCGGGACGGGGGTGGGAGGTAATAGGAGCCTATATAAGAAAAAGGCCCAAAAATCTGGACTGTCCCTATAAAATCGGGACATCTGGTCACCCTATTTCCAAGATAAAAATCAAAAGGTAGCTGGTCACCTTTCAGTGTTCAGAGCAGATTCTGTCTGCCAGATGTCAGTAGCCTGCAGGGGTCACATTTCCTCTTGCTGCTGATGTCAGAGGAGAAAAGCCAGTGCTATCGCTGTGATCTGAGGGACTCAGTAGGAAGTGCTCTTTCCTGAGTCAGTGTTGGCCCCAGTGCCCCGGCTTGGTGCTAAGGGAACTGTGATGCATCGTGGGGTGAGTGACTGAATAGGGGGCACTCTTCCCTCTGAGTTGGTGCTGACCCCAATGCTCCGCTTCAGACAATTACAGGCTGTTCTTCTAAAATCCTCTTGCCAATCTAACTGGATAAGCACATAGAAGTTTCAGCAGTGGGTAAAGAGGAATCACCTCTCTGTAAAGCACTGTAGGATCCTTTGGGCTGAAAGGCATTAGATAAAGGCAAAAACATACATGAATGATCTGTGTTGAATGATATACCTGTTAGTTTGGAGACAGAGAGACAAGAGGGGTGAGGTAATATCTTTTATTGGACCAACTTCTGTTGGTGAGCGAGACAAGCTTTGGAGCTACAGAGAGCTCTTCCTAAGGTCTGGGAAAGGTACTCAGGGTGTCACAGCTAAATACAAGATCAATCAGATACTTTAGCTTAAGTGCTTAGCACATATTCTAAGGGATCATTCAAAGTGAAGTGGCCGGATAACACCCCTGTAGTAATAGGACAAACGGGGGATTAGTGGGTTACAGATTGTTATAATAATCCATAAATCCAGTGTCTCTTAAAACCATAATTTTTTGTATCTAGAAAAATTGTGAATTTAAGCTCTGTTTTTTTTTCTTTCATACAGGACTTCTTGCCAATCAATTGGATCATTGCAATATAATGAAAATGGGAGTGAAAATTGCAGACCTAGGCAGCGCATGCTGGACCGTGAGTCAGTTTCAGCTCTCACCTAGTAGTGTAGCTAGCGGGGTGCAGGGGAAGCAGCCGCTTCCCCTCAGCACATGTTCCATAAGCGGCGCCTTTCCAAAAGCGGCCGGAGGAGCGAGGGGGGGCGCAGGCTGGCGGCCGGCAGCAAGGGGGGGGCAGCGGGCAGTGCGGGCGGAGGGGGGGGGGGGGGGGGGGCGCGGAGTGGCCAGAGGAGGAGCGAATGGGGGGGCGCCTTTTTTATATTTGCTCCCTCTCCTCTTAGAAGCTGGCTACGCCACTGCTCTCACCCCCAGGATGAAGGAGCCTGTTCTCTCTTTTCTGACTCTGATCTTAGTGTCTGTCCATCATTGTACATCTCCTTGAAAAGTTTTATTGTGCTGTGAAAGAGAGATTGATTTCATCTTGTAATGTGTGTTTGTCCTCTGCACTCCCAGCTCAGAGCTGACCTCTGTACTCTGGGCCATGCTGCATGCTTTGGACAAGCTTGTATGTGCATACAGTTAGCTTCTACAATTAGAAATGTCAAACAATGTCAGCCCAGTAGAAGGTTTCAGAGGGGTAGCCGTGTTAGTCTGTATCAGCAAAAACAATGAGGAGTCCTTGTGGCACCTTAGAGACTAACAAATTTATTTGGGCATAAGCTTTCATGGGCTAGAACCCACTTCATCAGATGCATGGAGTGGAAAATACAGGAGCAGATATAAATACATGAAAGGATGGGAGTTGCCTTACCAAGTGTGAGGTCAGTCTAACGAGACAAATCATTTAACAGCAGGATACCAAGGGATGAAAAATAACTTTTGAAGTGATAATGAGAGTGGCCCATTTCAGACAGTTGACAAGAAGGTATGAGTAACAGTAGGGGGAAATTAGTACTGGGGAAATTAGGTTTAGGTTTTGTAATGACCCACCCACTGCCAGTCCTTATTCAGGCCTAATCTGATGATGTCCAGTTTGCAAATTAATTCCAGTTCTGCAGTTTCACGTTGGAGTCTGTTTTTGAAGTTTTTTTGTTGAAGAATTGCCACTTTTAGGTCTGTTATTGAGTGACCAAAGTGATCACACCTTCTTGTCAACTGTCTGATATGGGCCACTTTATTTATTTTTCCTCCCTTGGTATCCTGCTGTTAAATTAATTGTCTCATTAGACTGACCTCACACTTGGTAAGGCAACTCCCATCCTTTCATGTATTTATACCTGCTCCTGTATTTTCCACTCCATGCATCTGATGAAGTGGGTTCTAGCCCACGAAAGCTTATGCCCAAATAAAT